CCCCAAAACCATTTGAGCAGAAGTCCAGCGTGGATGCGTCGCCCAAGATGTCGCTGGCTGAGAGGATGAAGGTCCTCAAGGACAAAGAGGAGCAGTGGAAGAGCAAGGGCAAAGGAGCGGCCAACGACTCGGTCCAGTTCACCGTCGCCGGACGCATGGCCAAGAGAGGTGACACTGCCCGAGTCGCGGCAGCAAAATCTTTCTTGCCCGGAGATGCCGAGCACCTTGTTTCTAAGAGACAAGACTCGGCGAAGCTCCTCCCCTCACGCGGACGGAGTTCCTTGACATCCGGATGGCGGCCAAAGCGGCCGCGTATGCATTGTTACGGTCTGCCGTCTTTCCCCAGGTCTCGTGTCCGAAACGGGGAAGGGCGAGTCCCGTCTTACTCCCATGAAGAAGTCCAACGCCGCGCCTGCAAAGCCGCTGGAAGGTAATGGACGCTCGCGCGTCTCAAATGCCGCCGCGTGGTGACGCTGTCGCTCTGCTCCAAAGAAATCTCCAGTCGCTCCGACGTCAAGGTGGAAGGAGACAAAAGGCTGGACAAACTGGAGTCCTTCCTGGACAAACTTCACAGTCAAGGTGCACTCTTGCTACGTGTCCTCGATTCCATTTTCGGTCCTCCTCCTCGGACATCATAAAGCGCACGTGGATTTCCGAGACCCCGATTTCCACCCTCAGGCGCGAGCAAGAGCACCACGTCCACCATCGAAGTGACGGCAGAGGCCGAGAAGGAAGTGATGGCCTTGGACGACGACGAGACCTTCGGCAGCTTCTTCGCGTCCGTCTCGCCCTCGGCCCTCCGGGACGTGCTCGTGACCGAGGAGGACCTGAGCCACGTCCAGGCCAACGCGCCCAAGTGGGTCTCCGGCCGCGGCCGTCGCGATGGGAAGGAAACGACCGCGGGGAAAGCCGCCGTTGACGCGCGACGTTCTTCCTCAGGCTCACGTCGGCCGTGGCCCAGCACAGGCGCGCCGTGCGGCCCTACAGGAAGAACCGAGGCTCCAGGAACCCTCTGAGAGCGCTGGCCGCCCGCAACGACATCCGGCGGGTCTACACCGAACAGAGGCTCAACATTGCCAAAGTGGAGAGCAAGCGGATCCAAGTGGAGCGCAGTAAGACATTGGCCCGCAACACAAAAGTGTTTTGTGAACGGCGACCTTTCCGGGAGTAGAATGGAGTGATTTCGTTCGAACTGAACCACCATCTTTACACCCGCAGTCATTGAATGAGTCGTACCGCGTCCAATCGCGCCGTCCGTTAAGCGTGTCGGAAAACCCTCGGCCATTCCGAATGGTCTTTTGCGGCATCCCACAAGTGGGGACTGGCTTATCCCTGCCTTCTGTGCGCCTAGTGGCCAAACACTCCAACATGGCTGACGTGGCCTTGGCGGGCCTGGCCAGCAAGGAGAACTTCCGCAAGGTCAACCTGCGCAGCGTCAAGTCCACCGACGTGGTCACCAACAACAGCGCGCTGCCCTTCAACAAGCTCATGCTCATTCGCATCAAAGGTCAGCGGCGGCCCGCAACGTTGGCGGAATGCCGACGCGACGCGTGAGACGTTCCCACGGGGGTGTCATTTTTGCCGGCCTCCCCCCCCGGCCGGGGCTTTCTCCGCAGGTCGGAGGCACGTGCAGGTGCGCCTGGTGGAGCCCGCGTCCAAGTCCCTCAACAGCGGCGACTGCTTCCTTCTCATCACGCCCAAGCATTGTTTCATGTGGAGCGGCGAGTTCGCCAACGTCATCGAGAAAGCCAAGGTAAGGCCGCCTCGGCGAAAGGGCGCGCGGGGGATCGCGGCCGCGACCTGGCAAACGTGCTCTGCGGGCGGCAGGCGGCGGAGATGGCGTCCTTCGTCCAGGCCAAGCGGGACCTCGGGTGCAAAGCCTGCCAGGTGACGGTGCTGGAGGAGGGCATCAACGCCGACAGCAAGTGGGCCAAAGACTTCTGGACGCTGCTGGGAGGAAAGAGCCAATATCCAGGTGTGCGCGGGCGCCCACGGCGTCGACGGGAATCCAAAACGTCCCTTGCGCTCCGAGCTCGACCGGGCAAAGGAAAGCGAGACGCGAATTATGGCCGGCGGGTGGCGGCGTCGGGTGGCTTTTGGATGCGGACCGGAGGAAGGCGGAAGTGGCTGAACGCGGCTCGTGATTGAGCAAAGTCATTCTGCAAAGAGTGTCGCAAAAGAGAGAAAAGATGTCCGAGATGATTGAAATGGACAAGTCCAAGTGATGACCGACGTATACGCGCACGCACGCTGCTAAATACTCCGACTGCTGAATTCGCTTCAGATCTCACCAAAGAGTGAAAAGTTTTGTTCTTGTTTTGGAATTGGAGGCGACCCCAATTCTGCTGGTTCATGAGGCTTGTGACTGATCGGTGCTCAGCGTGAGCGTTTTAAGCGTCATGGTTGCCTCCGCGCCCGGAGGCTCGTCTGGTATTCCCCCTGCTGCTCTGCACGCATGCTCACTCCGCTCCGTCTGGCGTGCGTGCGTGCGTGCGTGTCACAGGGGCGGGGGAGCCAGAGGAGGACGAGCTGTACGAGAGCGGCGTGCTGGACTCCAATGGAGTCTACAGGCTGCAGGGAGACAAACTGGTGCCTCACGAAGACGCGTGGGCCTCCATCCCAAGTGTCACCTTGCTCGATTCCAAAGAGGTGCGTGCGTGCAAAGTGATCATGTCTTCTCGGTTTTGTTCTCATTGCCCCCGCATGCCCCCCTTTTTTTTCCTTGTCTCCTCAGGTTTTGGTGTTTGACTTTGGCGGCGAGGTGTACGTGTGGACCGGCAAGGATGTGCCTTTGGGAGACAGAAAGGTTGCGGTCAAGCTGGGCAAACAGCTCTACGGTGGCAGCTACGACTACAGCAACTGCAGGGTTAACCCTTTAGATGCCTCCTGCGCCGACAGCGACGTTCCACAGTTGAGTGAGGGGGGACGGCGGCGGCGCTTTGGCAGTGGATTTGTTGTCTTAACGCAGCCCCCTGCTGGTGGTGTTGCGCTATCGCAGCAAGCGCGAACCCGGCTAAGTGCCCCCACTCGGTGTTCGCAGGCAAGGAGAGGGCCGCCCAAGCTGGACTCTGTTTGGCCGCCTGTCGGAGCACAATGAGACGTCGCTGTTCAGAGAGAAGTTCCTGGACTGGGCCGAGAGGGGGAAGGAGGAGGCCGCTGTGACAGAGGAGGTCAAGGTGCGCAAGGATTTTCTTCTCAGTGTTGCGTGTTGGCGAGAGCGTTTCTCTTTTTGTCTGCCTATTTCACACGTTTGCGCAAGAATTTTCTTGAAAATCCGCCCCAAAAAGCAAGCCGCCGGGTTGAGGTTCGGTCGTTGTGCTTTTGAATTGAATGGAGACTTGCTCCTTTTGCGACATCGGTCTCGCGGACGTGCCCGGGCTCAAGAAAAGTTGAGAAACACGTCAATACGCCAAATCGTTGCTATCGGTCTACTCAGAGCCCGGTCCACTCCAGCGCCCGCCCCCCGCCCGACCTGGACCTGCAGCCGTGCGACGCCGGCGCCCTGCTGCGCAACGAGCCGCCGCCGGTCAGCACGTTCCTGGAGGGCGTGGACGTCCAGCGGGGCCACGGGGTGGTGAGGACGGAGGACGGCCGGCAGGCCGAGTTGTCCACGGTGGCCGTGGACGCCTGGCATATTAAGGAGTACGGCGAGGAGGAGGTGCCGAAGGAGAGCCTGGGGCAGCTCCACCAAGGGGATGCTTACATCATCCGATGGAAGTACTCCATCACCACGCTTGGTGAGTCCCCGTGGAGACTTGTCATCGCTGAGATTGACTGAGGACCGAAGCGACTCCTTTGTCCCCGCAGTGGGGAAGCGGCAGAAACCCGGAGAGCTGAGTGCCGGCGTCGCGGGCAGGGAGAGGACGGCTTGCTTTTTCTGGCAGGGCCTCCACTCCAGCGTCAGCGAGAAGGGAACCTCGGCGCTCAAGACGGTGGAACTGGGCAGCTTCAGGGGATCGCAAGTGGGTCTTCAACTGCCGCACGCATTTTCGCCCGCAACCTAGTTGTGGGGGGGATGCTCAACTCAAGTGCATTTCCCGAGCGCTTTAAAACAACCTCGGTTGGCTGTGTCCAAAGTGACGCACGTCGAGCAAAAAGAATTCATAGAACGACAAACAAGAAAAGAACAAATGAATCACAAAGACAGGACAGAGCACAAAAACAGTCCAACTCAAAATCCAGTCTCATGCTGAGTCCAAAGCCAAAGAATAAAAATGTGCTTGTTTGCAGGTGCTCGTGAGTCAGGGGAAAGAGCCTCCGTGCTTCCTGCAGCTCTTCCAAGGTGGCTTGATCATCCACAAGGGCGGCCGCGACGACTCGGTCAACAGATGGGGTAAATCCTTCGTCGACCACCAGGGGGAGCCCCTGCACTCCAACTCTGACAATCACCGAGCCACGTCGTCTTTTTTGTTCTCGCCCTCCAGAACGTTGGCGGTTGTTCTGCGTTCGCGGCGAAGCAGAGGCGGAGGCCACGCTGTTGGAGGTGGAGTGCAACGGCGCCAGCCTGCGCTCGCGGGCCGTCCTCGTCCTGCTCCACGCCCGAGAAGCTCGTCTCTTCGTCTGGCACGGCTGTAAAGCGCACGTCGGTGCCAGGCGGGTGGCCAAAAAGGCCGTGGACCGGCTGAGCCGAGGGTAGGACGCGCGCCGGGGAGCGCGGGGGCGCGGTCCGAGATGACCGACTGAGGGTTTGCGCTCTCCTCCAAGGTGTCCTTCCGAGTTGGGCCTGAGCGGCGGCAGCGTGAAAGTTGAGGAGGTGGAGGAAGGAAGTGAGCCTGCGGAATTCAAGAAGGTTCTCGGCTTGCAGGACAGGAAGTCCTACGACTGCATGCTTCAAGGTTTCATTCACGCTTCCTCCAAAAGTGCAGTCACGCGTTGAAAAAAACGTCGGGGCCAAATCCAGTATATATTGCCGATGCTAGTCAACCATCCGCAAATAACGGACGCGCCGCCTGACACGAGTTGGCCTTCAGAGGCGGCAAAGCGCGGAAAAGCCGCACTTGGCGTTCACTTCCAATCGATCCCTCGACCGCGCTCACAACCACACCGAGCACGAGAATAATCGGCCAAGCGCCACGAGCGCGCCTCAAACACGTCGGCTGCTTTCAGACCCCGGCAAGTACAACCACACCCCTCGGCTGTTCCGGCTGAGCGCCAGCTCGGGCCTGTTCGAAGGCGAGGAGCAGCTGTACGCCGCCAGGGTGACGGAGGGCGTCGCGGCCATGCCCTTCCTGCAGGAGAACCTCTACTCGGCACAGCAGCCCGGTAAGGCCCGCCCGCCGTCCGTCCGCACGCCGCTCCTCGCCTTTTGCTCATCGTCGCTGTCGCCCGCGCCAGCTCTCTTCCTGCTGGACAACCGCATGGAGGTGTACCTGTGGCAGGGCTGGCAGCCCGAGGAGGAGCGCTGCACGGGCTCGGCAAAGATGCGCTGGGACAACGAGAGGAAGTGCGCCATGGAAACCGCGCTGCAGTACTGCCAAGGTCGGCCGTCTTGACATCGCCGTACGTACGTGTGTCCGTCCGTCCAGCTGCAATTATTCTGACACTTCCCCGCTTGCGCTTGTAGAAAAGAGCTCTCGGCGCCCCCCGCAGGCGTATCTGGTCACGGCGGGCTGCGAGGCTCTC